CAAAAGCAAATGGGACATTCTGTGCACGCCGCAGCGACACAACCCATGCAGGGAGCGATGTCAAACCCACAGAGGCCACTTTGGTCTTGACAGCATGCCGAACATCGCGGCCACGACAATGGCAGGCACGGAAACGTGTGTGATGTGCTGGCCAGCTGCCAGGAGCGCCAAGAAGCCCGCGGCAGTGCATCCGTGGGAGCCACGGTCATGCGTACTTTGAACGCTGCATAGGCAGAGAGTCTGAACAGCTTCCAAACTTTGCTCGAAGGTCCATAAGAACGTGACCTGAAAGCATCTTGTAGCACATGAACGTCGGCTCCGCGGCGGATGGCGCCCCGGGCGAAGACATAGTGAGCCAAGCCCGCACACAGGTCGTTGACGGCATCCTCTGTACCAATCATAAAAGCACCTATGCGCGAAGCGCGGCAAGTGCACGACTTCTGCAAAGCGGGTATGGGAAACTCTTGATGAAGGCGGCGAAGATGCAGGGCATTGCCGCCATTGTTGATTAAATGGCACATTTGCTTATATGCCGCACGGTAGCCCGTCTTCTTCTCACAGCTGCATCGCTTGCAGCTGGACGTTTCATGTCGGTGCTCCTCAAACAGAAGTAAACAGAAACAGGCTGTACCATGACTGCGCGCGCCCGACAGCCCATGGAACAATGGCAGCTTCGTGCTGGTGCAGCACTGCAAAGCCGAGCCGTCTAAGCCGACTCCGAAGTTCCCTCAGCAGCCACTTATGGCCTTTCGTGGAAGCTTGGGGACAGTTTAGAGTTCAGGGTTCAAAGCCGAGCCGGCTAATTCGTTGCTGACTGTCGCCCAGGTTTAGCGTTTGGGATAGAGCTAAAAAATGAACCAAAGCTGGCCGGGGATTCCCGAAATTTCCGAGAAATTTCGGGATCCGGGGTTTCCCGAAATTCCCAGGAATTTCGAGAAAAAAGAACCCTGAAATTTTCCGGCAATTTCGGGAATCCCCAGTAAAGCCGCCGCAAGAAGCCAAAAGGAACGGAAGAAGAGAGCTCTTGGCGCGATTTTTGTTGTTGCCTTCGTCGGCTCTTTCTTGCTCAGGGCTGGGAAACGAACCTACAATCCTGCCCCCAAACCCTACAGTAACCCAAAGTCTACAAGACCCCCTTGCCTTGTTAGGCCTATGGCACTCAGAGAGTTGCAAGCATTATTCCTAGGACGGTAACTCAGGTTGGGATCTTTGGGTGGATTGTCTTAGTATGGTGGCTGAGATCTTAAGATAGATTTGTATGCTCGGGTGGCGGGTGGGTGGCGCCATACGCCTAAACAGGCAAGGACCCATCTAACTTAATGCTCCCCCGTTATTGATGAAGGAATATACTTGCACTATACAGGCGCAACCTCATAAACCTGAACCGCTCGATTTAAGCCGTAAGCCCTTGCTTTTCTTCTGCTTTTCGGCGGCTGCCGGGGAGCTCCAAGCGCGGGGAGCTCCAAGCGCGGGGCGTGGAGGGGGGGAGAGATTCCAACTCAGACTTTCTCAAGTCCAAAACCCTGTAGTGTCTAGGGTTTGGGGTTTAGGGCTTGGGGTGTAGAGTAAACACCACCTGAGCCCTCAACACCTTGACATCCCAAAGCCCTAAAGCCCCAAACGCCCTGAATCTCCTCAACCTTGTGGGGTTTAAGGGATTAGGGTTTAGGGTTTAGGGTTTAGGGTTCAGGGTTTAGGGTTTAGGGTTTAGGGTTTAGGGTTTAGGGTTTAGGGTTTAGGGTTTAGGGTTTAGGGTTTAGGGTTTAGGGTTTAGGGTTTAGGGTTTAGGGGACTCAGGGGCTTGGGGGCCGAGAGCCGCTAACCCTCTCTCCGCAGGGTGCAAGCCTTTCGGGCAGAAGCGCCAGGGGTTTAGGGTTTAGGGTTTAGGGTTTAGGGTTTAGGGTTTAGGGTTTAGGGTTTAGGGTTTAGGGTTTAGGGTTTAGGGTTTAGGGTTTAGGGTTTAGGGTTTAGGGTTTAGGGTGTATGCAAGTTTAGGATTTTTACGTTTAAGATTAGCGTTTAGCGTTTCGGGTTAAGGGTTTATAGGGCTCAGGGTCTTGCCCAGCTGTTCTGAAGCAATACACGGGGATTTGCTATCACTGTTATCTGATAAACACTACCCAAACCACACATACCCGAAATAAACCCTGCCTCCTGCTGTCCAGACTTGAACTAAAACCCTAAACCCTAAACCCTAAACCCTAAACCCTAAACCCTAAACCCTACTAAAGCCCTAAACCCTAAACCCTAAAGCCCTAAAACCCAAGGTAGCCGAAGCGACAGGTCTCCCTACCGCGAAGCCAAGCTGAGGGTGAGCTAGTGCCGTTTTGTTTGGGTTTAGCTAGCGTTGAAAGTATTTGGAGTGCTTAGGTTCTTTGGCTTTGGGCTTCAAGGTTACGCTAAGCCCTAAACCCTAAACCCTAAGCCTATAAACCCTAAACCCTAAACCCCAAAACCCCTACACCCTAAACCCCTAAACCCTAACCCCTAAACCCTAAACCCTATACAACTTTCTTAAATCATCTTCAGGAGGAGCTTGCAAGAGCGACATTTTCTATCTAGGTCGTCACAGAGGTCAAAACATCCTGAAACCCGAGCTTGTTCAGGGTTTAGGGTTTAGGGTTTAGGGTTTAGGGTTTAGGGTTTAGGGTTTAGGGTTTAGGGTTTAGGGTTTAGGGTTTAGGGTTTAGGGTTTAGGGTTTAGAACGGCCCTTATTCTTCTTGCACAAATACGGAGATTCCTCCGAAAACTCATCAAGTTGAAGCTTCGGCTTAGAGATCTTGTGGATCTCTGCCTGAGCCCCTGGAACCTCCCATCCTCAAAGGCCAAGAGAAAGGGCTTTCTCTTTGGGAGCCCATCGGCCCCTTCGCACGTTAGCATACACAGCGGGGGATCCCGTGAGTCGGATTGGAGCTGAGCTTTAGGGTTTAGGGTTTAGGGCTTAGGGTTTAGGGTTTAGGGTTTAGAGTTTAGAGCTTAGGGCTTAGGGTTTAGGGTTTAGGGTTAAGGCTTTAGGGTTTAGGGTAGGAGAGGAAGCGCATTGAGGGTTTAGACCTTAGGCTTCAGGGATAGGCTCACTATGACTAGACCGAAAGCAACATTCCCTTCTGACGACTCACCTTCGCTTTCTCTGCCGGTGCCAGGATGAGTCACAGCCCGGCCTCAAGGTTTGTTAGGGTCGAACCATGATGATCCTAGTAGCGCTTTGTATGGTACTTGCGGGAATGCTCATCAGGTTGCGCCATTCTGTTTCCCACCATCTTAAACAAAACTCCTCGGTCGACCCACTGGGATCTTTTCTTCGCAGGCCTGCACGGCAGTGGCAGGATTCGTTGCCCGAAGCTGCGTTGGATGCACGAAGCATTCACCCCAAATAAGTTCCCCATAGAGGCTTTCCCAGCTGAACTTGTGACATGGGGAACAGCACGCTGTTTCAACGCGACGAAGTGTCAGTTCAGTTCCTTTTCTGAAGGTTTGGTTGCCTCTGTGTTCAGGGTATCAGGCCCACGTATGTCTCAAAACCCTAATCCTCAAAACCCTCAACACTTAAACCAGAACACACCCAGTCAGGTGACAAAAAGGTAGGTGTGCTGCAAGACTCACCGATGAATGATGGGCATCGTCGGGTGAACGTACGGAACGTTTGCAAGAGGCCAGCGTCCGCGAATAGAAACTCACAAGGCCGTCGCTGACCTAAATCCCTGAACCCTAAACCCTAAACCCTAAACCCCAAACCCTAAACCCTGTACCCTAAACCCCGAACCCCAAACCTTAAACCCCACACCAAGAAAACATAAAGCCATCCAAGCGGGTTTGCAATCTGAAGGTCTGCTTGGCGGAGCCCTTGTATTTTGCGAAGGGGCACTTTATGGCCAACAAGTATAGGACATTTGCCTTTTTACAGGGTCGCCAAACACGCTGAACCCTAAAGCCGGAAATCCCCTAGCCCTGTAGCCCAAAAATCCTTTTTGGGTCAGGATAAGTCCCTAAACGCTGCCCAACTGTAGTCGAATCTACCCGACGGTTCGAGTTTCCATAAGCCCACCAGTACGGCGCAACAGCGACGGCCTGCTTCCCGCTTCCCATTTCTTAGGCTTTGAAGACGACTTTGGGCGGTAAGTCAAACAAAAGAGCCCGCTTTCTGTTGGCCGGTCTATACTAGGATTGGCTACAGGCATTTCTACGATGTACGGCACGATGAACATAGGCGGGCTCTTATTTTGAGAAAAGTCGAGATTCTCCGATTCGCTCTCTGGTCCGGATCCTGTGCGCGGCACAAACACGACCGATTCTTTTCAGGTTTGTCTGCAGGTGTCCATAGCTCCAAGAAGTGCGCGCGTTGTCAGCCATGGGTTGATTCTACGACCTGTCGCTTGGTGAGTTCACTTTTGGGGGTACCACTGAAAGTGCTTTAGGGTACCCAAAAAAGGACGCTGGCCAAAACCCTACATGGACCCTGGAAACCTCATCTTCGATCCGCTTAGAGGCTTGAACCCCCTTAGTTTCCAGCATCTGCAAAGGGTTCAGCGGTTTGGGGTTTAGTGTTTAGGGTTCAGGGTGTAGGGGGTAGGGATCAACCTCGAATCAGAAAACCATGCATCAGTCACTTCCTGGATAGGCGAGTACGACTTTGAACTGTCGACTGCGCGGGACAGGATCAGGTTAGGGCTACATCTGCTGGGTCCCATTTGGGCGGAGGCAGATTCTTTCGAACAGCCCTTGGGGCGTTCGCAGGTCAATAACACGGGGCTTGATGGAGAGGCCCCACTTTCCTCCTATGCAGTCACCTACATGGTTCAAAAGATGACTTTACATGCACAGGTCTTGAGGTTTTGGGGTTAGTTTGGGGTTCTACCTTGGGGGTCCAAATGTGCCTCACATTTTAAAAAAATATGATATTCATATGAACATGATTAATAAAATCAAAAGTCATAGTAATATTCACACCATGAATATTTTGAATAATATTAAGAACACTAAAAAAAACACCTCAAGAGGCTCAGATCTCCATCAGAAACTCACGGGGCACGTATTGGCAGATGCGCTTCGGCAGGATTTGGAGCTCCTGGATTCCAAGTCCGCTTCGGGCTTCGGCTTCAGAACCTTAGGGGCTTTAGGGGCCCTGCCACAGAACTCATCAAAGGGTTTAGCTCCCAGGGTTTCTAAACGGACCGTTTGTGTGAATCAACGCACGGATGCACCGAACCTTCTTCGTTCTGCACGATTGTCTCTGCGATGGCTTCCGTTGTAGCGCGGTACTGAGAAGGAAGCTTCAAGGACGGCTGCGTAACCTGAGGTCATGAACCCACAGGAGCACCTGTTGCCGCCTACTGCTTCGCCAGCATGCTTACAGCCTAGGTAGTCAGGTAGTGAAAACCCACGCCAACCCTGAATCGCTCATGTTTCAAGCCGCCCCCTGAGCCCTAAACCCGAAACCCTAAACCCTAAACCCGATCCTGGCTCAACCTTTTGAGCGCTTGTCGGGTGAGCTTGTTCTCGTAGCTCATCTTTGCGAGTTGCAAGCCTGAGTAGCTGACATTCACCCCAAACAGGGACACGAAGTCTCATGACCCAATCATGCTGAAAGACCCTGTTGTTCTGCTATTCGGAACCATTTCAAAGAAGGACACGATGGCTCCCATCTCCTGACTCACCCTTGACAAAGTGGAGTTTTTGAAGCTGAGGGTGGCCAGCTCTTTTTTAAGGTTATGGGGCTGGTTCCTTAACGTTATGGCTGTTTCCTGCCATAGGCGCCCCCCCCCCCCCCCCCCCCCCCCCCCCAAAAAAAAAAAAAATCCCAGCATTTGTGCACCAGAGCAACCAACATGATTGATACAGTTCACCAAAAGAAGCTACGTCCCAACCTGACACCCTTCTAAAACCCTACCCCCTAAACCCTGAACCCTAAACTCTAAACCCTAAACCCTGAATCCTAAACCTACTTCGAATCCCGGTGGCTCTTTGCGGGGCCGTTCAGCTGCATGCATCCGGATACAAACTCCTCGCGCTGCTCATGATTTGTTGTTGATGTATACTAATGAGCCCTCATCGTCTAAACTCCAAACCCGAAAACCCCAAACCCCCACAACCAAACCTTAAGTCATGACTTGCGAACATGGGGCCTACCAGGGTCACTTCACCACAGCACAGGAGGACTGTTGCGGGTCGCATCTTCACTGACTTTTCCGATGTGTTTCTGAGCCTACAGCAGGCTGACCGCAACCCTAGACCCTCAACTCTTCTCCGAGCATGACTCTTTGACTGAAGATGGCATGTGTGGCCCATCGTGAATTCCTGACGCGAAGACGCAGTCATCACCCGAGCCCATGAATGTTCAAATTCTTGGGCTACTATAGGGGTCGGACTAATTAGTAATCATATTCCCTTATGGTCCCTTTTATGATTCTACTACCCTAAACTCAAAGCAGCCCGCGCCAATGCAAACTTCCAAACGGTGGCCCCCCAGGTGTCCTCTATGTCGATGAGGCCTGAGCTCTTCAGTGGCTTTTGGGGTTTTGGGCTCAGTGCTTAGGATGTAGCCAAACGCACATCTTTCGCAGGCTGCTCTTGTAGAAGCCCCTCATGGGAGTTTCGGGTAGGCTACAAGACAGATAGTTTCTTTGCGGGTTGAAAGCGCTAAACCTTGACTTCCTTCCACTAGGCCTTCTTCGACACAAGGGTTCCTCTATTGGCACTCCCAAGATCGTGCAACCCCCAATGGCCCAACTGAGCCTAAGTTCCCAGAGTGCCCGGGGCCTCCTAATCAAGAAAAGAATAATACAGCAGTCGGAATAATTGCTGCCATCTGGTCCCGGCATGAGTCCACTAGAATACCCCCCCTCCCCCCACAAAACCCTGTTCCTGTTATTAAGGCCTCTTTATTACATTAAAAGCAGATGGGGCTTCTTTTGCCCTGAGCGCCAGAACCTACGCCTTGGGAAGTTCCCCCTTGTACGAAAAGTCTTTGAAAGGATTGTCATAGGGTTTAGGGTTTAGGGTTTAGGGTTTAGGGTTTAGGGTTTAGGGTTTAGGGTTTGGGGTTTGGGGTTTGGGGTTTGGGGTTTGGGGTTTGGGGTTTGGGGTTTGGGGTTTGGGGTTTGGGGTTTAGGGTTTAGGGTTTAGGGTTTAGGGTTTAGGGCTTCGGGCTTAGGGGGTTTAGGGTTTAGGGTTTGGGGTTTAGGGTTTAGGGTTTAGGGTTTAGGGTTTAGGGTTTAGGGTTTAGGGTTTAGCCTTTTTTGTGCGCCCTGGAGCGGGGTGTGGCAGCCTGGGGGTTGCCCAATGTCCCCGCAAGTGCTCCTGAACAAGGGCCTTCAGGGGTTCCTTGCTTGGGGGGGTGTCTGGGATAGCCCTAAACCCTAAACCCTACACCCTAAACTCTGAACCGAAAACCCTAAAGGTCTCCAAAGGCACCTGGGGAGCAGCTGAGGATTTGAGACGCGAAGGCAGCTTGAGGCTTGGGACCAAGCCGAGGGGCCGTTCTCATCTTTATCCAGCAGCATGAAGAAAGTCCAAACGTCATCGGTTGAAATCCCAATGGAGTCCTGGGCACCGCTGATCAGGGAAGAATTCGGCACCGCGGATCATCTGCAAGAGCTACTGTTGCTTCCGACTCTACGAACTCCGAAGTGCAAACCCCTCAAGGTCTGCAGTTTTTGCCGCAGCCTTCAACCAAAGCAGGGTTGCGGGTGTTCACACCTTCCTTCCTTCCTCCCTCCCTCCCTGCTTCCTTCCCCTTCCTTTCCCCTCCTTTCCCTTCCTTTTCCTTCCTTTTCCTTCCTTTTCCTTCCATTCCCTTCCATTCCCTCCCATTCCCTTCCATTCCCTTCCATTCCCTTCCTTTCCCTTCCTTTCCCTTCCTTTCCCCTCCTTTCCTTTCCTTCCCCTTGCAATCCCTTCCTTGCCCTCCTTCCTTCCGAACGATCGCGGGTGCAACTCTCGGCTGTCTGCGGCGTTCTGTCAACCATGAAACTGCGTGCTTTCACAGGCCGTGCTCTCAGAAATAAAAGCACGTATGTGTAGATAGGTAGAATATCTATCTATCTTTCTTTCTCTCTATCTATCTATCTACAGCTACTCTAGGGTAGAGAGTTTAGGGCTTCAGGCTGCCAACTACCTCCATATCCACAGCCCCGCCAGGAGTCCAGAAAGTGCGACAGCCTCTTGGTGTCGATGGCGTCCTCCATGTCCTTTCAGTGCCGGCCGCCCTAAACCCTAAAACCTAAACCATACAAACCCTAGATCTCACTATGATTTTTGAGTCCTCCGCGGAGGGAGGTTCATGTGGCTTAGGGAGTGGAGAGGGTTAGGGAACCTTGGGTTACGACCCACCTTGAACCCCCCCCTCCCCCCTTATGGACCCTATAAGGCCCTATAAGCTGGGCCTTAGGGCGCACAAACCCAAACCCTAAACTCCGCGCACCCGCAAGAAAGCAACCAAAACATCCTAAGCCCCCCAGGGCAAGGACATGTGGGCAGTCGTTACAAGCGCGCCTCTGGCGTACCAGGCACAGGCACCCCCATGTGTTTGACATGGAACCAGGGGGTTGAGGGGGTTTGGGGTTTTGAGGACTTTTGAGGGTTGAATGGGTTAAGGGCTTTATAGGGTTTGAGGAAAGTCTAGGGTTCTAGGGTTTTGGGTTTTGGGCTCGGGGTTCTAGGGCTTTAGGGGTTGAAGGTGTTAAGGTTTTTGGGGTTCTGGGGTGTAGGGTTGAAGCCGAAAACCCCTTACTCCAAAGCCTAAACGCGTGGAGACCCCCCTAAACCCTAAACCTTAAACCCTAAACCCTAAACCCTAAACCCCCACAGTGGGATCGGGGCTAGGAGAGCTTTCAGAGAGTCTCGGACCTGAAGCTGAACCCAAGCCCTATGTCCTAGAACGAGAACCCTAAACCCTGAACCCCAAGCCCTAAAACCCGAGAATTCCTAAAGTTCTTAAAATTCCCTAAAACCCTAAAACCCTGAAAACCCTAAAACCATAAAATTCCCGAAAACCCTAAACTTCCCTAAGATTCCCTAAGATTCCCTAAGATTCCCTAAGATTCCCTAAAATTCCCGAAAATTCCCGAAAATTCCCGAAAATTCCCGAAAAATCCACAAAATTCCCGAAAAGTCCCTCAAATTCCCCAAAAATCATAAAACCCTGCAAGTCCCTAAAACCCCAAAACCCTAAAACCCTAAAACCCTAAACCCTAAAACCCTAAACCCTAAACCCCTAAAACCCTAAAACCCTAAACCTCTAAAACCCTAAAACCCTGAAATCCCAAACGCTACATCCTAAAGCTTATACTCGACCCCAAAACCCTCAAGGCCAGGACAAACTTAGAAATTGTATGTAGTCAAAATTGGAACCTAGAATTTCGATGGGGAAGACCAGCCAAGCTTGCACGCTGTTTGTAAAAACAAGTCCGCACTGCACAGATGCGCCTCCAAAAAAGCACAAATGGAGGCCCCAGAAGGCCCGGGAGGCCCTAGAAGGCTCTGGAGTCTTCCGTGGCCCTGTGGCCCCCCGGAAGCCCCGGCTCCGAGGCAAAAACAAAACTCGCCCAACACCCACAAAAGCAAGAAAAATAAGCTCAGCAAAATCCGGTCAAGACCCCGGGACGCACACCCAAAAAACTTTCCATAAAAATCCCTAAACCCTAAACCCCAAACCGAAACCCTAAACCCCTAAACTCGAAACCCAAAACCCAGGTGGCGAGGCTTGCCTGCAGGCTGATGTTGTTGGAGCCGGAGTGGTCCAGCTCCTGGAAGATGTCCTGAGCTCAGCGGGACTTCAGATGCTTTCTGGGCAGAGCTTTCCTTCGAAAGGTTCAGAGGGTTCAGAGGGTTTAGGGTTTAGGGCTTAGGGCTTAGGGCTTAGGGCTTAGGGTTTAGGGTTTAGGGTTTAGGGTTTAGGATTTAGGGTTTAGGGTTTAGGGTTTAGGGTTTAGGGTTTAGGGTTTAGGGTTTAGGGTTTAGGGTTTAGGGTTTAGGGTTTAGGGTTTAGACCCCAAACCCTAAACCCTAAACTCTAAACCCTAGATCCTGAACCCTACACTGCAATAACCTTGAGGCCTGAAGCCCTCAAGCCGGGAGCCCTCAGTGCTAAACCCAATCTGAGGGCCGGAACCGTACAGTGTTTAGATTGTATAAGTATGGGGCTTCGGGCATAGGGTTTAGGGTTTAGGGCTCAGGGTTTGGAGCTTAGAATTCAGGATTTAGGATTCAGGATTTAGGAGTTACGATATAGGGTTTAGGGTTTGAAAGAGATTGTGCATATTGTTAAGTTGCTATAGTGTTATATTCGTATCCATTGTGTTGGTACATTGGTTACAGTGAGAGATTGTCAAAGTTCAGTATTGTTGTATTGTTAGATTGCTCTATTGTTACATTTGTTACGGTGTCATATTGCCCCAACCCTAAACCCTAAACCCTCAAGCAGCTCCCCTTCCCAGACTGCCTTGAGCTGATCGATCTGCGCTGCGCGCTTTCGCGCCTGCTTGATGGTCGCCACCTGACACGTTGGGCTTAGCTGCGGGGGGAACCAGGACCCTCCAGGCCAAAGTAGGGTTCAGGGTGTAGGCCTTGTGGCAGATGTAAGGTTCAGGGTTATAGAATTTCTTCAAGAACAAAGGGCCTCCACCCGTCATGAAACCCTAAACCCTAACTCCAAGCCGCCTGAAGGTAGTAGGCATCCCCTGAAAAGCCCCGCAGTCGGGGGACCTCCTTATCCGCGCTGGCGCTTTCGATCGCCGTGTTGCCTTGTCTCCGTAGGAATTGTTTTGGGAGCTTCCGAAAATAGAGCTACCCGTTTTTGGGTTTAGGGTTTCGGGTTTAGGGTTTAGGGTTTAGGGTTAAGGGTTAAGGGTTGAGGGTTGAGGGTTGAGGGTTTAGGGTGTAGGGTTTAGGGTTTAGGGTTTACTACAGTAATGATTCCTTGGGGGTATCGCCTGAGGGGTCCCCGATTTTAAGAGAAATGCCCATCTAGCAGGGCTAACAAAGCTTTTTGGGTACACATGTTTGAAGCCTCCTGCAAGCCCTTTACTTTATCGCGGGGAACCAGCTAATGTTTAAGCGCATTGTCAAGAACAGTGTAGTTGCTGTTTCGTTAATTGTGGATCGCAAGGAACAAACTTTGTCGCTGTTGACAATGCGACTTCGACGGAGGATGTTGGAGTACCCGATCATAGTTGCAGCCTACGTAAACCCTAAATCCTAAATCCTAAACCCTAAACCTAGCTCTTGTTGTTGCCTCTTATAAGAACGACGAACTGTCGGGCTGCTCTTGCCGCTTATGCAGCTTGACACCCCTCAAGCCAAAACCCCCAACGTTCAAGCGGCAACGAGGCTACAAAACCATGTAGATGCCTTGGCACCCTGGCCTTCAATGCTACCCAATAAACTAAGAATACAGAAGGGTGCCCCTTCTTTGCAGATTCTTGAAAGGGAATCCTAACCCAAAAGGAGTAACACAGGTGGAGGCTGCTCTTCACAAGGCAGGTCACTAAACTACCGGCAGGGTCCCATCTTGGGGTTCCTGTACTCTCATGTCCGGCCCTCACCTTAGATTTAGGGCCCCTCCAAGAACATAGAATGGACCCGAAAGCCTAGACCCCTAAACCCATGACTTAGCATAGCCCCACAAGATCTGAAACATACACCTGGCTTCGTGACCTCAGGATGTTAGGGCACTTCTCCCTATATCCCACTCAGAACCGCAACGACAACGATGCTTCAAGATATTACCCTTCTTTAAGGAGACAAGGAGACAGAGGGTTTAGGGCTTATTCAATTTCAGACCGCAGCTCACGCGATGACAGTTTGGCGTTTAGGCAAACACTTGCAATGGTCTAGGGTTTCGCGTTTAGGGTTTATGGTCGCAATGCCTGAGTGGAGTATCATAAGGACGCACCAAAAGCCTGAAAGCCGAAAGCTGAAGCCAAGCTTCAGAACACGCCAGTGACTACGTTGAGGACCGCAAACACTGCAATTACAATGTACAGAATCACCTCGGGATCACCACGAACGAACTAGAGTTTGACATCTTCGCACGCGGGGTGCTTGTGAGGAGTGTGCGCAGTTGAGCCTCCGGCAAATCAAAGCAACTGCCCAAAGCTTGGACAAATGACGTTTGGGACTGGCGGATTATTTGCGTGCGGGAAGTACAATACACGTGTTGCATGGACCACAGTGGACTGTATTGCTTTCCGCACATGTAACCGAAGCACCGCAAAGTGTCCTCTTACTGCACCTCCTTCTCACATCTTGACAGCTTTCGTCAGCTGCGAAGCTTCTTTGCTGACGGAAGGTTGGACTTTATGGCAGGCTCGTGAAATCTCGGGGACCTGCACTCCCCTGTCTTGCTTTATATAGCAGCTTACCTAGGGCCCAGTAGCTAATGCTGTTCTGTCTTGCGCCTCTCGTCCCGTCTGGCAGATATGCAAACGGGGCAGGGCACAAAGGACTGCTGCTGGTGAGCCTGCTCACCCTCGAGCACCTAGCACGAACAAGTTTTACATAAGTCCCAAGCCCTAAGCCCTAGATCCTAAGCCCGAAGCCCTAAGCCCTAAGCCCTATACCCTAAACCCTGAAGCCTGAACCCTAAACCCTAAACCCTAACCCTAAACCCGAACCCTAAACTTCCCTACGCTTCAATCAAAATCGCTTTCCTCTGTTTCAATCAAAATCGCATGGCTGCCAAGGCTCCAAAGCGAAACCCAAGCTGGAGACCTGTAGCTCCCAACAAAGCTTTGTGTTTGGGGGTTTGAGGGTTTGAGGGTTTGGGGGTTTGGGGGTTTGGGGGTTTGGGGGTTTGGGGGTTTGGGGGTTTTGGGGGGGGTTTGGGGGTTTGGGGGTTTGGGGGTTTGGGGGTTTGGGGGTTTGGGGGTTTTGGGGGTTTGGGGGTTTGGGGGTTTGGGGGTTTGGGGGTTTGGGGGGTTGGGGGGTTGGGGGCTTGGGGGTTTGGGGTTTGGGGGTTTGGGGGTTTGGGGGTTTGGGGGTTAGGGGGTTGGGGGGTTTGAGGGTTTCAGGGTTTCAGGGTTTCAGGGTTTCAGGGTTTCAGGGTTTCAGGGTGCAGGGTGTACGGTGTGGGTTGAGGGTTCAGAGTTTGGAGCTGTGTAAAGTGTAGAGTTGCGGGTGCAGGGTTCAGGGTGTACCCTCAAACCCTAAACCCTAAGGCCTGAACCCTAAACCCCCAACCCGAAAC